ACAAGATAAATGTCTTCTTTTCGCGTAATGATCACTCACGATTTCAGATACCGTGATGGAATTTCGTTGAACCTAAGTTTTGTCCTGGCGGTTGAGTGCTCATGCGTTACTTGTCAGCTTGTCGGAAAGGGTCGTGACCCCCATTCAAGCCTTTTCCTTTCTCAACCTCAGGTTCAAGCCGCGGCCAGCCAGTATGCTCAGTTCCGTCTAAGCCTGAGCATAGTTGCCCAAGCTCCCGTCGTCTATATGCCACAGCATTCCTTCTCCACAAAGCACTCAATGGTGGATCTAGGCTGCGTCACCTTTTGCAACCATTTCGAGTTTATCGCTTCCGATCAAGGCCTCGAAGATGCCGTTGGTCCGATTCCAGACCCAGGAATAATGTTAGAACGTACAGAAATTCGCCTGGAGAACTTACGCCTCAGCCGGTAGGTCATCCTATGCACATGATGTCTTTTTGGCTTTGAATTAGTTGTTTTCAATACGAATTCTTTGCATCGAAATTTTGCATTTATTTGACGCTTTCCTCCAACTTTCACTGGGAATCTCTTTGATGAACGGAACCAAGGGAAATTTCAGCAAGCTAACTAATAACATTTGTCCACAAGCCGTCATACAGGCGAATCAATCTACACGTAAAAAAAATTGGATTACTCACAGACTGGCCGGTCAGTTGCAAATGAGGTGCAATTTTCCGTTGCAGTTGTCGACGGATCGTCAGAGCTTGAGACATCTCAGTAGTTAAGGCGCGTAACTAACTAATTAATGGCTTGAAGGTCCGTGGAACCTACCTACACCCAGCTTTTCGGTTGACCGCATCTAGCCTTGGGCAACATGGTAGTATCTCAGTCCCTTGCCTTCGTCAATTTGGCAGCTGTGGGGCAACATGGTAGTATCTCAGTCCCTTGCCTTCGTCAATTTGTGCGGCAGCTGTGCACCGGAAGGGTGCTACAACTGAAAAGTCATTTACCATTCATTTTCACTGAGCTTTACATCTCTTCCGTTACTTCGTCGGTAGTACGGATGACGCATGGGAAATTTCAGCAAGCTAACTAATAACGTTTGTCCACAAGCCGTCATACAGGCGAATCAATCTACACGTAAAAAAAATTGGATTACTCACAGACTGGCCGGTCAGTTGCAAATGAGGTGCAATTTTCCGTTGCAGTTGTCGACGGATCGTCAGAGCTTGAGACATCTCAGTAGTTAAGGCGCGTAACTAACTAATTAATGGCTTGAAGGTCCGTGGTTCGAACCTACACCCAGCTTTTCGGTTGACCGCATCTAGCCTTGGGCAACATGGTAGTATCTCAGTCCCTTGCCTTCGTCAATTTGTGCGGCAGCTGTGCACCGGAAGGGTGCTACAACTGAAAAGTCATTTACCATTCATTTTCACTGAGCTTTACATCTCTTCCGTTACTTCGTCTGTAGTACGGATGACGCATTGCTAGCTAATATGAATTTCGCTCATACCGCGAGTACACTTTTTTGAGATTTTATCGTAGTCCAACGCCCAACCGCTTATTGTCCTACTCATGGTTCATTGGTAGATGGCTTAGACTAGTTGTTAGTTGCTCTCCATCTTTTGTACATTTGATTCGTTATTACCACACCTACGAAGTTGAATTTTTGTCATCGTATGAAACAAAGAACCACAAAATGTAGCGTTCGAAAGTTTCGATCCATTGCATTGCGTCATATCTGCAAGAAAAGTTGTCAATCAGAATGTTGTAGCTGGGATCTCTTTTTGTGTTAGTTCAGTTTTGCGTGCTGTTCCACTCGTCGATGATCGATTTTGCCATTTTTTTCATGGGGACAAAGGTCATCCTCTTAAATGCATTTCCAAAGGTTTTGGATTCAGTCGAGTCGGGGACTGGTCGTCGTAGAACTTTGTCACTTACTTTATCCTCTTGTGTGGGACATTCAGAAAATCAGAATACCATTATGTAGCTGGTCTTTCAAGAGAAGGAGATAATTCCTTATGTTTGAGTATCTACTCAGTTCGTTTTACTTTTAGAAATATATATCCGGAAGCTACATTCATATGCTACCTGAATGATCCTTTCAAGCGCGCAAATCACAATGCGTGATCTTCTTTCAAAGGTCAGTCGAAGGTATATGATAGCTATGGTTCCCCTAAGTGAACCCTTTGTGGTTAGAAATGCTTATAGAATCCCGTTTTCTCGGCTTTGTGGTGTGTTATCTTGCTCATTGTGTTTGGTCAGCAATATGCAAGGCGTATGTTCCCGTTCTCCCTAAGGATGTAGCCGTATCTACCGGGAATATTTTGGCTGATAGTTGGCAAGGATTGCCCTGAAACTGCCGAACTCATTCGTCAGTGACTTCTTTCAGAATCGGATCTATGATTGTCGTTGCTATTCACATTGTCATTTGGGCTATTTCGTATAATAAGGACGGTGATAGATACGTCGCACACGTTCGCAGTCGTGTCGGATGTTGACTTGGTGAAGGTGGAATCGTGTTATTAGTTTGCCACTAGCGCATTGGTGGAGGTCCCTTACTTTCACCATGTTCTCTTGTCACTGGTTACCC